GATGGATGGATGATGGATGGATGATGGATGGATGGATGGATGGGTGGATGATGGATGGATGGATGATGGATGGATGGATGGATGATGGATGGATGGATGGATGGATGGATGGATGGATGATGGATGATGGATGGATGATGGATGGATGGATGGATGATGGATGGATGGATGGATGGAATTCCCTCTAAACAGGCATATAATTAATATTTCCAATAATAATTAGAATGTTTAATAATCTGGATCCAATGAACTGAATTCCATCTGAATCGGTTCAGTTAAACCGGTTCCTCTGATGTTCCTCTTCTGTCCTCCATCCATCCTTCCTCTGGTCAGAAGGTCTGGGATTGACAGCAGGCCAGTGATTGGTTAATCCCATCTCTGCGTAGGAGACCTCGTGCCAAACGGAACGGCACAAAACCCGAAGCGCCATCTGTCCGACAGACACTCTGTTCTGCCAGCAACGAGGAGACGCTTCGATTTTTACGCGCAGCCGAATCTCCGCGAACCTGACCCGCTTCAGCTTCGCTCTGCCTCTCCAGGAGGGATCCATCCGCATCTGTTAGGCTCCTGATTTTCACTCAGACTGAAGAAAGTTTTCTGTTTCTGCTGCTGCGTAAAGCGGGTAGTTGGCAGCGCTCTTCTGTCGCGCGTAAAGCGAGTCTTATCTCTATTTGGAGAAAAATTAAAACCTCCTGATTTGATGGAGAAGATGGAAAACTCATCATCATCATCATCATCATCATCCCTCCAGGATCTGAACCAGACTCAGGTCCAGAATGACGGGATCTGGACGGACAACAGCATCCAGTACAAAGTGCTGAGCAGCCTGCTGCTTCTCCTGATCTGCGCGCTGGGCATCGTTGGTAACATCATGGTGATCTTGGTGGTGAGCATCACCAAACACATGAGGACACCGACCAACTGCTACCTGGTGAGCCTGGCTGTAGCGGACCTGATGGTGCTGACCGCGGCCGGACTGCCCGCAATCCCGGAGAGCATCTTCGCCTCCTGGGTGTTCGGCAGGTCCGGCTGCCTGGTCATCACCTACCTGCAGTACCTGGGGATCAACGCGTCCTCCTGCTCCATCACCGCCTTCACCATCGAGCGCTACATCGCCATCTGCCACCCGATCAAAGCGCAGTTCCTCTGCACCCTCTCCAGAGCCAAGAAGATCATCCTGCTGGTCTGGGCTTTCACCTCCATCTACTGCGTCATGTGGTTCTACCTGTCAGACACCGAGGAGAAGGTGTTCGCAAACGTCACCGTCGTCCTCTGCGGCTACAGGGTCCCCAGGAAATTCTACCTGCCCATCTACTTCTTTGACTTCGGCGTGTTCTTCGTGCTGCCGCTGCTGCTGTCCGCGGTGCTGTACGGGCTCATCGCCAGGATCCTGTTCCTCAACCCGCTTCCCTCAGACCCCAAAGACAAGAAGAAGAAAGGAGCGACCAGCAGCAACAACAACCAGGCTGCCAACAAGAGCAACAGCTGCAAAAACTCCCGACACTCCAGCTCCACCGCGACGTCGCGCAGACAGGTGAGCGACAGAGAGCTTCGAATCTTCTTTTTAGGGAAGGAAAGACATCAACAATTGCCCAAAAACAATGTGCTGTTTCTTTTCATCGATCTGAGACAGATTATAAATAATTTCAAGAGGCGTTTCATAAATTTTTGTCACATTAACCCCTTAAATTTAAATACTTTACACTGCAAAAAATGGAAAAATAAGTATTTTTTCTTAAAATAACTGCTTTTTTTCTTGAGCTGAGCAGGTAAGTGAGAACGAAACAAGACAATTTACATTTAGGATAAGAAAAAACAGCTAAAGTCTCTTATTTAAAGTGCGTATTATCTACTGATCCAATATTGATGGTAAAAATGCTCATTCAATTAACAGATCATCTTATTTTCCTACTCAAATGAAGGGTAAATACACTTAATTTAAGACATTTTTACTCACTTTCAGAACGTTTTTGCAGCGTACTTAAGTAGAAATGTTGACTTTTAATTATCATTATACCTTTATTTTAACAGAAAAGTCATTAAGAATAAATTCTCATTTACAATGGCGGCCTGTGAGTGTAGTACCCACTAAGGAAAAGGGAAGTAGGGCTAAAATAAATACATTAGTAAGACATGCACTTACAGTTTAAAACAACAGACAACCCAAAAATGACTGTAGAGAAGCAGAAGCAACCGTCTGTGAACGAGGATGGTCTAATTTTTTTGAAGGATGAAAGTGGAATTAGTTCATCCAGTTTAGGAATATTTTGCAGAGCGTTCCAGTCAGCAGCAGCAGCAGATTGAAAAGGCTATCTATTCTTTACTGGTGTAATTATTTGTAACACAGCTTTTTATTTCTACTCCTTCCTTACATTTGAAAAATAGTCTAGTTTTGTTTCGTTTAAGCTCATTTTTATGGAAGAAAAACTGTCTCATTGGAATCTGGCTCTTTTTGTACATCGAATTTTAAACACTGAACTTTTTTACACGTTGAATTCTTTACACTGAAACTATATCTGGTTAAAATTCATCTGCATATGTGTGGACCTGTTGGTGAACTCAAGCCAAAGCAATCTACTTCCGATGCAGTCGAGCCGCTTCTAGCCAATGAAATGAGCTCATTTGGTCACATGACGCAGCAGTTGGGCATAGCTTTGGTCCCGGCTGAATGAAGCTGAATGAGGAGTTTTTCTTGTTAAATAGATCTGATTATAGAACATCAGGTAGCTACTAATAGACTAGCCTGACGTAGTCCTACTCAATTCTAGTCAGAATGAGTCTGATGCTGCTCCATAGAGCTGTGATTATGGGGCGTGTTTCGAACGAACCAGGAAAAAAAATGCCTCTGCACTCAATTGGATAGACCTACAACCAATAAGAGCAACGGAGTGCGTGACGTATGTTAAGCCACGCATAGTTGTTGTCCACAAAAATCAAAGCGTGCAGTTTCACGCCTAGAATAAGAAGATGAGCCTTGATCGCGTTTCTCTGTTCCTCTTTTAAAATTAATTTGCTGTCGATATCTTCTAGAACAGACCTAATAGCAGAATCTACTCACCTCAACTCTCCAGCGGCAGCCATTATTGTTGTCGCCCAAGCGCACTTTGGTGACGTGGTTGATTACGTTACTGTTGGTCATCTGTCCATCATCGTATAAAGCCCGCCCTGACAATTTGATTGGATCGCCAGAGAATGGGCGAGCATACTCGCGCTACTATTGAGCAATGCCAGACCGAACTTCCCGACCTCAAACGTTGTGGGCGGGACTAAGTTCGGAATGGCACCCAGGTTACTAATAGACGGCCATTAGAGTTTTTCATCAAGTGCGGCATCCCTGTCTGCCAAGGCTCTTCGTTTGATCCGGAAGAAGCAGCCGCTGCCAAACTTTCTTTTTTTTCTGACCAAATAAGCTAATTTCATTGGCTAGAAGCAACTCGATAAAGCGTCGATTGCTTTGACTTGAGTTCAACACATTAGCAGTCAAATTTTTTACAGCTGAATTTTCTGCAGGCAAATCTTTAGTAGATATAAATTCAGTGTAAAGAATTCAATGTGAGTTGAGCCCCCGGCCCCTTTACAGGAGAGCAGAAGACCTCACCTGTTCAGCCAGGCCAACAATGACCCTAACAACCCCCCTTTTCAGAGGCAGAGACCAGTATGGGGCATTGCAGGCTAACAAAGAAGCCAAACGACCCCCATTCCAAAGGGGGGGACCCGTTCATCCGTTTCTATTTGCATGTTTTCTAAACTAAAACCAGGCTTTGTTGGGCTGCTGGATATATCCTGGAACTAAACGCTATTTCTGACATTTTGAATTGAAAAATCTTCCTGGATGGAAGAGAAACGTCTTCAAACTTGGAAACAAAGTCCAGTGGATTGATTTTTTTAACTTTTTTGGAATGATTATGACCTGGATGACTGAGAATCTTTACCATCATAGGTTTTTGAAAGCTGGAATCTGAGTTCATTTGTTTCCAAGTTTGAAGACGTTTCTCTTCCATCCAGGAAACTTTTTCAATTCAAAATGTCAGAAATAGCGTTTAGTTCCAGGTTTTATCCAGCAGCCCAACAAAGCCTGGTTTTAGTTTAGAAAACATGCAAATAGAAACGGATGAACGGGTCCCCCCCTTTGGAATGGGGGTGGTTTGGCTCCTTTGTTAGCCTGCAATGCCCCATACCTGTCTATGTCTCTGAAAGGGGGGTTGTTAGAGGGAATAGTTGTCTTCTGATTCCACCACCTCTGTTTAAGGTTGTTTTTTCTTTCCTAACATAGATGCTTCCTTCATGCCCCTCTCAAACCACCTGTCTTCTTTGTCCACAATGTGAACATTCTGATCCTCCAAAGAATGTCCTTTGTCCATCAGGTGTAGATGTATCGTAGAGGTTTGTCCAGAGGAGGGCGCTCTTCTGTGGAGAGGTTGTTTGTTTATCCAATATAAAGATCAGAGCATTCCTCACTACATTGACCTGCAGACACCACTCTGCTCAGATTAGGATGTCTTTAGGATGAACTGGTCTCAGTTTAAAGGTTCTTGTTTGGTTTGAAATGTTCTGGAATTTTGTGCTTGGAGAAAATCTTGAGTTTTTCAGAGACTCCAGCAACATCTGGGATGAAGATGTTTTGTTGTCTGAGATCGTAACAGGATTTTGGGTCCAGGAGGGAATTTGTTCTAGCAAACGTTCTCGATGCTGTATGTCTGATGAACAAGGAGAGATTTACCATCAGGCAATACTAGGCAGCTGCCCAGGGCCCCAAGTTCCTGGGGGGCCCATAAAACTCTGTTTCCATGTATGTTTAATACAACTATTCCTTATTTCTGCACATTAATTATGTTTTTGATAAAAATCCTTTTGCTAAAATGCCATCAGAATGCTGATAATATTAAGTGTGTCTCAGCCCCCCCCCCTTCAGTGTCCGCCATATTGGATCAGTCCATTTGCTGCACATGTTCAGAAAGGTCCAAACAGACAGCAGCAAACCATTTGAAAACAAACCATGCAAAGAGCAGTGTTGCCAACTTAGCGCTTTAGTCGCTATATTTAGCCACTTTTCAGACCCCTCTAGCACTTTGATTTCTAAAAAGCTCCTAGCGCCAAATCTAGAGACTTTTTTCTGCTACTGGAGACTTTGGAGACAACATCTAAAAGCAGCGAACTCTGCTCTCCAGAGCGAGTAGATTGGTAACCCCGCCTCCTGCTCTCCTCTATCTTGTCTGCTGTCATGATTTCATTATTTCATCCAAATGAAAAATGGAGAACAGATAAGCAGATCATGGCTTGTCTACAGTGAAAAGAAGGACTGGGTTATTTACTTTGGCCTTTTTGGAAACACAGGAAGGAGCAATCAGCTAAGTGAGCTTAGTGCTTGGAAAAAATCTTTCATTCCTTTAGAGACAGCATGAAAAGTCAGCTGAGTACAAAACATAGAGAGGAAAACAAGAAGAAAAGGGACAAGAAGAGAGGGACACAACCTAGAACAGATAATGGATGTCTATTCTATTAACATTTCTACATCTGGAGAATGGGTTCAGAGGGCCCCCTGCCTGTCTTTGCATTGGGCCCCACATTTCTTAAATCTGCCCCTGCTGATGAAGTTCACAAAATGGTAAATTTAGAAACAGAACCCAAACATCATCCTAACTGTTGGGCATGGTGGTGGAGGAGTGATGGTTGGGGCTTGTTTACAGCTTTAGAGGCTGGGAACCGTGGAGTTATTGAGTGGACCGGTTCTGGTCCAAACTGGGTTCTGGAAAATGATTTGCTTCCAGAGGGAATGTTTTCTGTCTCCTGGTCAAAGCTGGTCCTGCTCTCATCTTCCTCTCCTTGCTGCCTGCAGGTGACCAAGATGCTGGCGGTGGTGGTGATCCTCTTCGCCGTGCTCTGGATGCCGTACCGCACCCTGGTGGTGGTCAACTCCTTCCTGGACGAGCCGTACCTGGACAACTGGTTCATCCTGTTCTGCAAGATCTGCATCTACCTGAACAGCGCCATCAACCCGGTCATCTACAACGCCATGTCTCAGAAGTTTCGCGCCGCTTTCCGAAAGATCTGCCGCTGCAGGGGGAAGGGCTCGGACAAGCCGGCGGCCTACAGCGTGGCGCTCACCTACAGCGTGGTGAAGGACACCTCGCTGGTGGAGAGCACGGATCACTACACCACAGAGCTGGAGGAGCTCACCGTCACGGACGAGCTGCTCTCAGATCAGAAGGCCATGTTCTCCGACACATGTGGATGCGGAAAAGTGAATTTCAGTCACGATTGAGGTTGGTCTGAGGCCAGCGAGGCGACTCGGTGAGTCTCCTGGGAATTAAAGACCTACAGAGTGTTGTTTAATGGACTCCCTTAAGTGGGATCATTGTTTCCTGAGTGCCTGGTGACCTTTTTAAAGCCGGGCTGCTGCAGGTAGAGATGTAAACACAGATCACAGCCGGCGAAGCGTAATGAGAGCTTTTGAGGCTTAAAGCCAAACACGCTGTTAGCTGAGAACGATGCCAGATGTCGTAAAGCTTCAAAGCAGCCGACAGATAAGCGCTTTCCCTCCGCAGCTGTTATCATCGTATCTGAGACCTGCCCACGTAAGGTGTTTGAGTCAACATGGCTGTGAGCGAAACACCTTCCCCACTGCAAACATGTCACAGCTCCAGCCTTTATGATTCCTGGAACTGTTGGGGAAATCACGCTCGCACCTTCAAATGGGATCAAAATGTCACGGAGAAGCAAAAGCACAAATCCAGCCAGGTGAGCTCGCTGAGGCCACGCCTTCTGTTTTCTGCTGCAGGAAAGCAAACGGCGGTCATCAGACGAGATGTTTGACAGAAAAACAAAACAACCCACCTGCTAGCACCTCCCTGACTCCTGGCGCTTTCATGGCGGCCGTCTTATTAGAGCAGGAGAGGAGCAGGAACCTCCTCTGAACTGCTGTGAAGGACGTGAACATCGATGCAAGCCGAATTCTGGGGGTTCTAACTTCCTCTCGCTTCGATTTCTTTCAGCAAAACTTTCCACATCTGTTGTCTTTGTGACTTTTAATGTAATTTCCTGCATTATTTCACCTCCAATGACCAGGAGAACAGAAATAGCTAAAAATGAACCCGCTGTAACAGAGTTGATTAGCTTCAGTGCCGCAGGAGAGTCTGTTTCTACCATGAACTCCTGAAAAAAATTTTTTTTCCCTTCTTGAAGATTCAGGTTAGAATCAATTTTCAGGATCTTCTCTATGTTTAACCTTCTGCTTGATAAACAACCATTGACAGATATTTCCTGGCTACATGTGGGGGAAGTAGGGAAATGATGTCACCATGATGTCATCTCATCAACCTTTGAATGAGACAAATTTAATCCCAAAAACACAGTTTATATCTGGACAAAGATGTCAGAAAACGGGGCGAGAATCAGCAGCAGATCATCAGAACTGTTTCCTAATTCAGTTTATTTCTATAGCTCCAATTCACATCATGTCATCTCAGGTCACTTTATAGATCCAGATCAACCAGATCATCCAGTCAGATTGATTCAAAGTTTTCTATCTAAGGAAAACCAGCTGATTGCATCGACTCATTGACTCTTCAGCAATCCCTCACACTAAGCATGCGTGCAGCGACAGTGGAGAGGAAAAACTCCCTTTGAACAGGAAGAAACCTCCAGCAGAACCAGGCTCAGTGTGCGCGGCCGTCTGCTGAGGCCCACTGGGGTTCAAGGAGACAGAAGCAGACATAGAAAAAGAAGCATAGATACAAAAGGCAACTGTCAACCAGCTCCACAGGCGGCCCCGTCCAGGAAACACACAGTACAACATGTCCAGGAAAAAGAGGACGTCTGGTCAGCCTAGCTTACGCGATCTTTGTCATGAGAACCGATCCAGAACTGAACCGGGCCGAGCCCTACCGATGAGCTAGTACCAGTTTAGCACGGTTCTGTTGTTTCGGGCGCGGTCTGGTTCAGTTTTGCGTGCCATTTACACTCAACAGTTATCTCTGTTACTGTTTTAAAAGGGTAGTGAAAAGGGGCTTAGGTCTTAATTTGCTTGTTTTAGAACTTCCTGGTGATGCACAGACTTCCTGTCAAGGCTTCGGCATGCTGGGGGTTACAGGTGGGACATTGGGACAGGCGTCCATGACCTGGGAACCATTTAAACTGGTCCTAGTGTCTGCATGGACTGATCCACATTCATTCATCTTTAGGACTTAAAGCAACGATCTGCTGCTTCTAGTCAGCTCTCCTGCCAGAGGAAGGGAGAAGGTGAGCTGCTGTTCAGACCTGCATCCTGCTGCTGAAACTGATGGTAAAGGAACAGAAACCTCCCATTATTATGGATGGAAGCAACTTGGAGCAGATGGGATTGACACGGCGGGACCGCGGCTGCTTCCTGAGCCGTAGAACCGTCTGTAGAAGCAGGATGGGGATCTGAAGGTGGCGCTGATAGAGGCTGGAGTCAGGGTGGACCTCCCCAACCCAGACACCCAAAGAGGAACCATTCATGCTGTTTTTATTAATTCTGTTCTTCCTGGTATATTCTGATGTCGAGGCGCCGGTTTAGTGTGTGAAGATTGGCTCTGACTTATCCAACCGTCTCATTGGTTCATCATCTAATTCAACCAAAGTCTAGGAGTTAACCCTGAGATAGTCAGATATTATTCCTAGAGCAGAATTGGTTTAAAGACCTAAAATATCTTCTGGAATCCATCCTTTCTCCAGCTGGAAGCAGAAAAAAGCCTCTGAGTGACTTAAATGTGGATCTAGATCCTTTAGTTCTAATTCAGACATCAGCTGCTCTTCAGCTTCAGGTTGGTTTAATGGGCCAGCAGTTTGAACTTCTGGATTCCAAAAAAGTTAAAGTCGTAGGGAAGCGGCCGTTCCAACCGTTGCATTTCCGAATTCTCCCGATTGGTTCCCGACTTTACGAGTGAATAAAGTGAATGTGATTGGTCAATTATCAAGGGGGCGGGATTGTTGTGGCGGAAGATTCGAAAGCTTTTTGGTTGTGGCCGGTTTGTGGGAAGCATCTTGCTAACCAGTTAGCAACTTAGTGCTAGCAGGTTCTCAATGGGAAATTCCATTGGGACCAAGTAGCACTAAATTGGTGACTTAGAAACGACGCTGTCAAGGAACGCTATGGACAGCGGAAACATGCAAGAGGAGGAGAGTTTAGTGTCGGAGGTCGTGGATGAGTCTCCTCCGTCATCCATTTTTTATTTAGAGGAGGAAAGCGGGGACGAAGATGTTGTGGAAGAGGACGCCAGGGCGGCAGAAGCTTGGTTTGGTGTAGAAGGCTTCCAGCCGTACATGTTTGAGCCCTTGCCTCGCAACGCTGCCAGTTCTGTTAGCTCTACGCCTGCCGAAGACACAGACGTCCATCCCCGTGAACACTGGGACGCAACTCAATGGGAAAGGAAAGGATTCTGGTTTCAACCGTTGCGTATATTAGCTGCAACACATGAATCAAGATGCTATGACCGAAAACATTTGATTGACAGATGACCGTTGATATATGATTGGCCGAATTTAGGTGTTCAGGCTGACGTAGAACTAACTGGCCTGCAGAGGATAACAGAAAAAAACACAGATTTTAAGACAGGATTTTTTTTTTTTATAGAAATTTTCAAAATTTCTATAGTACATTTATATACATGTTTAGGCCAGAATGATTTGAAATTTAAATATGACTTCCTTACGACTTTAAAATCAATCCTCTGGACTTTGTTTCCAAGTTTGAAGACGTTTCTCTTCCATCCAGGAAACTTTTTCAATTCAAAATGTCAGAAATAGCGTTTAATTCCAGGTTTTATCCAGCAGCCCAACAAAGCCTGGTTTTAGTTTAGAAAACATGCAAATAGAAACGGATGAACGGGTCCCCCCCTTTGGAATGGGGGTCGTTTAGCTTCTTTGTTAGCCTGCAATGCCCCATACCTGTCTATGTCTCGGAAAGGGGGGTCGTTAGAGTGAATAGTTGGCCTGGCTGAACAGGCAATATCTTCTGATTCCACTACTTTTGTTTAAGGTTGGTTTATCTTTCCTAACAAAGATGGCTTCCTTCACGTCCCTCTCAAACCTCCTGTCTTCTTTGTCCAAAATGTGAACATTCTGGTCCAAAGCCCAATTGATTGCTTTTTAACTTTTTTGGGATTATTATGACCTTGATGACAGAATCTTCACCAGCATGAAGTTCTGGATTAAATCTGCTCTGGTCTCAGTGACGTCCTTTTCAGTGTGAATAGAGACCAGATTCCTTTTTTTAAAGCCTGAATCACTGAAATATCAGTGAGAATGACTCCAGTGACTCACTGGGCCTCTCTGGACCCGCTGAACCGATCCATGTTCGGTTCCACCGCAGTGATCGTGAACCTCTGTGTCAGTGTTCAGTAGATACTGGAAGATGCAGCCGTAGTTTAGCTCCAGGGCTGATCTCCATCTGTGACAAAGTGAATTTGTTGTTGTGGATCATGTGACGTGTGCTGTTTACCGTGGATCTGTGCTGCAGCGAGGTCGGTCCCACAGAGCGAACCTGTTGCATGACTGGAGGAGGAGAGCAGCTGGTATTTACTAAGCTGCACCACATTCAGCTGCTCCTGTGTGTAATTCACAGCTTTGACGTAATTATCTGATTTCTGTGTAGGATCTGAATCCCGGCTGATTATCCTCGTTATTATTACAGTTTTAGAAACGCTCCGTGTCTCGTGGCTTTTGTAAAGTGATGCTTTTCTTTTCATATTGTGACGATTTCAATTGTTCATTTGTATATTTTTTTCTCATGATCTAATAAAGTTTGACTGAGATTTATTGTTTGGCCTTGAATTACTAACGTGGTTCGCTTATGGAGTGAATTATGTTCCATTATTGTTGCAAAAACAATTTTTTTTGTAAATTAAAATTTGCAAAAAAATGTATGGAATCCAGAAATACGGCAGAAGATTAGGGCCACTGAAAAAAAAAAATAAAGAAAAAAAAAGAGGTTAACTGATTTAAAATATTTCAGTTTAATATTGGGGAAAAAAAAGTCAGAATTCTGTTTTTTTTCTCATGCTGAAATAAAATTAAAAAATCAACGAACATTTTTTTATTTTTTCAGTGGCCCTAATCCTCTTCCATACAGAAATGAGGCCTTAAATAAACTTCTTAATCATTTTTCTTTTTCAAATTTCTGTTTTCAGAAGTTTTATGAATTTTATTCTTCGTCCAGATCCAACTCTCTTCCCTTCTGGGGGCGGGCTTTCCTCTGGACCAATTTCTATTGGTCGTCTGCGAGTGTTAAAGTACGGGCTTAAAGTAAACAGAATTTGATATGTGAGGTGAAATCTGAAAAGAAGGTAGTTCTTAAAATTAAATCTAAAAAAAAAAAAAAATGAAAACATTAAATTTGATTTCAAGAAAGCTTGACAAAACAGAAAACTAAATTAGAAAAAAATTAATCTGAGCAAACAGAAAAGTAAATTTTAAAAAGTGCATTTCTGGATTGCATTAATTGCCATTTATGCCATTTATCTATTTGCTAATTTCTACTAATTACTCTTTATTTTCTTGTTGTTCTGAAATACTAAAGAAAGAAATCAAAACATTTGTCTTGTTTTTGGAATAATTAGCTGAAGGAAGTTCGTTATCAGACCCAGACTCAGATGCCCCGAGTTACACTGGAAAAAAATCAAAATCTAGATAAGTAATTTTTTCTTAAAATAAGTGCATTTGTTCTTGGATTGAGGAGGTAAAAGAGACATTTTGCCAATGAAACAAAACAATTTACACTTAAAATAAGAAAACACAATTGATTTGTCTTATTTCAAGTGATTATTATTGAATAATCTTATTTTAAAAGTAAAAATACTCCTTCCATTGGCAGATCATCTGATTTACCTGCTCAAATTAAGGGTAAATACACTTAATTTTTAGAAATATTGACCTATTTCTAGATTGTTTTTGCAGTGTATAAAGAGTGTTAATTGGATTTTAATCCAGACTGATGGATTAAATCACGAGAATAAAGTCGCAAAGAGACGAGTCATAAAATTACGAGAATAAATTTGTAAAATTACAAAAATAAAGTTGTATTTTATAACAACTCTTCCAGAATCCCTTTCTTCCCTAAACTGAGGAACATTGAGCATCATGTGAAGTTCTACTTTAGCATCGGTTTGACCAATCAGGAAATCTTTTAGCAGCAGCATCAAACTGGGCAGGATGTCAAAGTGGACTCTGGTTGCTGATTGGTGGAGCTGGTCGGCCGTCATCTGCTGGGCGGAGCTCCAAGCTTTCTTTCTGAAACAGGTTGCTGTACGATGACTTTATTCTCGTAATTTTACGACTTTATTCTGGAAATTGACGAAAAAAAATCACTTGGAATAAAAAAAGTGGGAAATTTCCCATCAACTCTGTCTTGATGCAAACTGGTTCCTGAACACAATGTAATTCTGCTGAATGACCAGATGGCACCAATAAACACTATCGATTGATTCATTTGATCAATTGAGCTGCATTCCTGGACTTTACTCTTGATTGTTGTCGTTTAAATA